GCTAGGGGCTGCCCGCCGGACTTGCCCGTCTGGTTCTGCCATGTGTTTTCTGTTCCTGCCCCCCCTTCCTGCAAGTTTCTCTCGTGCTCTTCTTTCTCCCTTCCATCCGCCCCCGTGTCTTCAGTTTTAAGGGCAGCGCTACATGCAAGCGGCAGATCAGGAATCCACGCCCCCAAAAGGGCACGATCTAAAACGAAGAGGACGCATACCGGGAGTTTGGGATAGACTTGTCGGATAGCACGCGAACAGATCGGAACGAGCAATCTTATAATGATAGTCGTTGCTGAATTTTTCATTTCAACCAATCACTATTGCTGATCACCCATCCTGTAACCAGTGTGTTTTTTCATTCCAAGTGCCCCCCTCGGGGCTCGCACCCTGTTTTTCTTTTAAGGGGACGCTTGGTGTCACCAAACTGGGTTGTTGGCTCCCGAGCTATAACAGCAACAACTCCCGCCTCATATTTCCACACAGTTGATTCCGAAATCGCGCTTTCGCGCTGGACTTCCTCGCAGTTGACTCAAACGCCGCGCCCTCGACACGCAAGAATCACGCTGTCGCTCTAGCCTATCTCGCGATATACTTGGGAATCGCGCTGTCGCTTGAGCTGTCTTAGCGATTCATGCGGTACTAACGCCTCGGCAGCACGCCTTCTCAACCTGGCCGCTTGGGCCCGCCTGACCGACCCGCACGTTGGAGTCCACCCGCCCGATGGGCCCATCTGATTCTGGCACGTGTTTTCTGCTCCTAGCCCCCTTCCTGTTAATCCCGTGCTCCGTCCTTCTCCCTTCCACTTCCATTCGTCCTCCCTGCTCCTGTTTCAGGGGGGGGCAGCACCAATTACAAGCGGCAGGTAATGAAGACATAGCACAAGGCGAACACGATCGAAGACGAAGACTGCGGGTACCGAGGGTTTGGGATATACGTGTTGGGTGCCACAAGCGCGGATAAGAGCGAACTGCCTTGAAATGATTGCTGCTGCTGTTGCAGATGTTAGTCATCGTACTAGTACTTATAATGGTAGTAGTAGTAGTAGTAGTAGTAGTAGTAGCAGTAGTAGAAGTAGTAGTCGTAGTAGTCGTATTAGCCCCAGTAGTCGTAGTAGTAGTAGTAGTAGTAGTAGTAGTAGTAGCAGTCAAGGGTAGTAGTAGTGGTAGTAGTAGTAGTTGTAATAGTCGTATTCGTACTAGTCATCGTACTTATAGTAGTAATAATACTAGTCGTTGTAGTAGCAATAGTAGTAGTGGTAGTAGTGGTGGTGGTAGTAGTAGTAGTAGTAGTAGTAGCAGTGGCAATACTGGTAGCAACAGCAGAAAGAGTGATTGTATTCATAATACTAGAAATGGTACTAGTAGTAGCACTGGTAGTCGCAGTAGAGATAGTAGTCGTACTAGTACTAGTAGTACTAGTAGTAGTGATAGTAATAGTAGTAGTAGTAGTAGTAGTAGTAGTAGTACTAGCACTAGCAGTAACAATAGCAGGAGCATTCGGAATAACCTTCGTAGTACTCGTATTAACAGTAATATTAGGCGGCGTATTCGTAGTAGTAGTAGTAGTCGTAGTACCAGTACGAATAATCGTAGTCACAATCGTACTCGTAGTAGTGGCAATAGTAATCGTAGTGGTACTTGTAATAATAGCAATCGTCGTCGCCGTGATGGTAGAAGCAATAGTAATGATATTAGTAGTTGTCGTAGCCGTGATGGTCGTAATACAAAAAGTAGTAATAGTAGTTGTACTAGTAGTATTAGTAGTAATAGTAAAAGTAGTAGTAGTAGTAGTAGTAGTAGTAGTCGTCGTAGTAGTCGTAGTAGTAGTAGTAGTAGTAGTAGTAGTAGTAGTAGTAGTAGTAGTGGTAGTAGCAGTAGTAGTAGTAGTAATAATAGTAGTAATACTAAGAGTTATAGTAATAGAGCCGCAGTCGTCGTAATAGTAATTAAGCGCAGATCAAGTGCAACATTAAAAGTTGCTGTTGGACTCTCACTGGTGAATAATGGTTATTGCTGACCCCCCCACTCCAGCAACTAATGTATTGTTTGAATTGAAGTGCTTCCCCGAAACTGTGATGACGGCCCCCTGTTTACAACAGCAGCGGCTCCCGCCTGATACTTCCTCACAATGTTTTCCCAAATCGCGCCCTCGCACGGGACCTCCTCACAATTCGTACAAGAATCGCGTACGAATCGTGCTCACGCGTGGGACCTCCTCACACTTATTCAAGAGACGCGCCCTCGGCGCTCAGGAATCACGCTCTCGCTTTGGCTGTTCGCACGATGTACTTGGGAATCGCGCTGTCGCTTGTAACGTCCTCGCGGTGCACGCGGGACCCACGCTTCAACAACCCGCCTGCTCGACCTGGTCGTTTGGACCCGCCTTCCCAACCTGCCCGCTACTTCGCCGCTACGAAAGTTCGGCCAAAATCCAACGCCTCCCGTTAGGCGACGGGGCCCCAGTACGGTGTGGCCATTTCGAAACGGCGGTTTCGCTTGATACTTCCTCGGAAAAACGATTTCGAACGATTTCGAAACTTTCGGGTTCGATTTCGAAATGGCGCTCCCGCCTAGGACTTCCGCAACAATAGTATTCGAAACCTTCCTGCTTCGATTTCGAAATGGCGCTCCTGCACAGGACTTCCTCACACATAGAAATCGAAACCTTTCTGCTTCAATTTCGAAATGGCGCTCCCGCACAGGACTTCTTGCAACATGAGGTTCCGCATATGTTCCGTTCGAGCTCGAAATGGCGCTCCCGCCACGGGGGTGCTAGCGTCAAGTCGGCGCTCGGCTGCTCATAGGTTCTGCGGTGCTCTCAGGCTTTGGATTGATGCTCACGGCCGTCGTGGTGTTCTTAACCAATGTGATGCTGAGGCGTTGTTTAGCTGAAAACACAAAACGGGTCAAAACTTTCGTAGCGCAGATGTATGAGTCTGGCCACCCAATCTGCCCGTTTAGTTATACAATTTGTTTTTTCTCCTTGCCCCTTTCCTGCAAATTTCTCTCGTGCTCCATTATTCTTCCTTCCCCCTCCCACCCGTCTTCCTTTCCCTTGAAATAAGGGTTGCACGAAATGCGCGTGGCAGGTAAGGAAGATATGCCCCCAAGTGGGTACGATCGAAGACGACGAGGGCGGGTACCGAGGGTTTGGGATATACGTAATGATTGGCACGTGAGCGGATCAGATCGGACAGTCTTAAAATGTTTGTTGTTGTTGTTGCTGTTGTTGTTGGTATTGTTGTTGCTGTTGTTTAACATTCACTACCGAAGAGTAATGTGTGATGATCCCCCCCTCCGGTGACCAGTGCGTTTGTCAATTGAAGTTCTTCCCCGTGGATTCGCACCCTGTTTCTTATCAGGGAAAATCACTCAGCTCAAACTGGGGGGCGGGGAGAGGGGCAAACACGGAGAACAAGGTTTCCCCCCTTCGGCCGCGTCGTCATATGGTCATGCTTCCCTCCTTATCCTCCTCTTCCTCCTGCCCTCCTCCTCCTCCTCCTCCTCCTCTTCCTCCACTGGTTCCTCTTCCATCCTCCCCCTCGTGGGGTACTACGGTTTCCCAACCTTTATTCCACCACGTGATCCCCCACATGCCTGATCAGGGTTGGGCTTCGTTTCTGAATCGGCTGGCGGGGTTACGCAAACCGTCCAGAATATATAGGACATGCACCAATGCACGGAGGGAGGGCGGCTTCGTTTCAAGCTTGCGCTCTCGTTCAAGACCTTCTCCGTGCGATGACCAGAGATGCAAATTTGTGCAGCACTTGCACAGTATGCGGGCAGCTCCTTGTCAAAAGGGGGCTCTCGGTGGACACCTCGCTGGACGTTCTGATCTTATATCTTCGCATTTATCAGACCTCGCTGGAAGGATGCAATGATCAAATATTGTGATCATGAGGCAATGGCGGCTCCAGTTCGTGATCAAATCTCACGTCTTGGACTGCTTTTCTCAGATCGCTCCGCAAGACGAACGACCGACACGAATGTGTTCGTGAATCATCATGAGTTCGGCTCACACGGACTTGTGCGTGGAACCTACCTGCATTCAGCCCGGGTCACACGAACTTTGCAGTGACTTCGTGCAGCAAGCCTGCTCACACTGTCACGCGAACCACTCACGGGCCCCCAAAAAATCCACGCGCTGTTGGCGATGGAATACGGTGGGGGCATTGTGTAAGGAACCTTTAAATAAGGAATCCAGGGTGTGGAAGCCAGTGAAACTCCGATCGCGGATCGGCCATGGATAGCACTGCCACCCTCATCAGATAAGGAATCCCACAGGGTCTGAAGCCTCCTGGGCCCACTTCTTAACGAATGCCCCCACCGTCACATCTGCAAGGTAGACGTCTAATCACCAGGCCTGAGCTACCAATAATAAAAAACCAGCACGAAAGGAGACCGAGAAGAGTGATCATGAAGAGGAGGAGGAGGAGGAGGAGAAGGAGGAGAAAGGCCAACCCCAACGGGCTCCCTGTTTGCGAAGACACCAACTGAACTTGAACCCGGGCTGAACTCAGACCCAGGCTGACCTCGGACCCAATTCTCGGACCGAGAAAAATCGGACCCAAACTGGACTCGGACCCGGCTGAACTCGGACCTGGGCTGAACTCGGACCAAGCTGAACTCAGACCCAGATGAACTCAGACCGAGGCCCGCGCTGCAGCGGGAACGCCCGAGTCCGAATTCAGAGGGGTTCGAGATCAGCCAGGTCCGATTCAGCCGGGTCCGAGTTCAACGGGTCCGAGGCAGCTGGAAGCCTGGAGGTCCGAGGGAGTCTGAAGCGAAACGAGCGTGACCACCTGGCTCATCGCATCTTGGAGCGCAGAGTTGGAGGAGTCTGAAGGAAGAAGAGGAGAGGGTGGAGGAGGAGCAGCAGCAGCAAGAATACAATGGAAGGGGGATAGCGGACTTGGAATGCGGAGGATTTGCGAAGGATGAGGGCGCAGAGAAGAACTGGGAATGACGAAGCAGGAGGACTGCAAATAATAAATAAACGGGGTAGGATTTGGAGTAGGAAGCTGGAAGAGGAAGTGGAGGAGGCCATGTGGCCATCGGTCAAAAGAGTTATGCTGCGAAGACAAAATGTCATTCGACCATATGTAGTAAATCACGAGACAGCTCGCCGGGTATGCCCCGCCGCCAAGCCAGACAGCAAACACGTGTCGGGCGTAGCCCCCCGACGCATGCGCATGCACCTGCCAACGTCGTTTGTATTGGTTGCGTCATGGCTTGCGCGTTCCCCGCCCGACGATAAAAACGGCCGCCTCACGAGCGCGCCTAGGGCGGGTTCGGCCGGGCTCGAGCTTGGCCCGGCGCGAGTTCGGCCTGGTGCGAGTTCGGCCAGGCGCGAGGTCGGCCAGGCGCAAGTCTTCCAGCCTGCGGAGGAGGCCAAGCCGAGGGAGAGTGCCAGAGCCGCCGGGTGCGAGTTCGGCTGGGTGCGTTCTCGGCCGGGTGCGAATTTTTCTGCCTCTGGAGGAGGCAGGGCCGGAGGCGGGAGAATGCATGAGTCGCTGGGTGCCAGTTCGGCGGGGTGCGAGTTCGGCAGGGTGCGAGTTCGGCCAGGTGCGCATTCGGCTGGGCTGGAATTCCTCCGGCTGGCAGGTCAACCGCACGCGCATGTACGAAATCCCAGAGACACTTACATCCAGAAGCCCCAGCACAAAAGCCTGAGATGTTAACCCAGAGACCCTAAAACACGAATGCTCGACCTTAAAACCTTCATCCGCAAAGACCCGGCTACACTAACACCCAACTGTCCTAAACCCTCAGGCCATTATGCACTAATACATGAAATCCTAGTAAGTGAACCTCATCCCCGAACATACGAATGCCCTGAGACATACCCCAAGACCATAATACTCAGAGGACCTGTATCCTTAAGACCCTAAGACCCGAACGCCCTGATACCATCATACCCTAAGCCCCTGATGCCATAAGCCCTTAATGCCCTCATGCCCGAGTAATTACCATAACACATAACATCCAAGTGCGCCAATACCCTGAAACCCTAAAGCCCTAATACCTGAAGGCCCCAAAGCCCTAACACCCTGATGCCGTAAGACTTGAACTCTGTAAGGCGAGAATACTCTAAGACCATGGCGCCCTAAAGCCCTTCGCCTTTTCATGCAGAAAACCAAAACAAATCCCAAACCCTAGTGTCTGAATACCCTGAGGCCCTAGAGCTCTAAGACCCGAACACTCTAATACAATAGTCCGGAAGACCCACATATCCTAACGCTCTAAAACCTTGAAACAATTAAACCAACAAATCCCAATGCCGGAAAACCCTAATACCGGAATGCCCTAATACCCAGATGCCCTAAGATCCCCAAGTCCCTAGTACCCTAATGCCCTAACGCTCTAAATATCTGTGGCCGCAAGACCCTCAGACATTAAAACCTGAACAGACTAATAGCCTAATATCCCCAAACCAAATACACGAATGCCGTTATATCCTACAAGCCTAGCGCCCTCATACCGGACACACTGTTACCCTTACCGGACACACTCATACTCTAATACCCAGAGATTCGAATACCCTAAAAACACCAGAAGTCACGCCCTAAAGCCATAGTGTTCTAAGGCCATAACCCCCCTGATCCTAATACCAAAGCCCTAAGACCCGAATTGCTTTTGCACCTTGAAGCCCTAAGACCCTGACGCCCTGATACACTAAGACTCGAATGCTCGAACACCCTGATACCCGACTGCCCTAATAACCGAACGCACTAATACAGTAAGACCGTATAACAAAACCCTGGGAACCGAATGCCCCCATTCTTTAAACTCTAAGACCCAAATGCATGAGGACCCAACATGCCGAACGTCCGAATACCCTAAAATCACTTCTGTCCTGATACCCTGGTGCCTTAATACCCTAAATACCGAAGGCCTTAAAGCTTAAAGCCCTAAGGCCACATGGCCCTAGCATCCAGATGCCCTAGTATCACGACGCCCGAAGACCCCAAGACTTTACTACCCTATGGCCCGAATACCCCAGACCATGATACCAAATTCCCTACAGCCCGAATGCCCTAATACCCTAAGGCCTAGAACCCCAACGCCCTAAAACCCAAATCCCTCAGACCCGTAATCCCTAAAGCCATAATGCCCTAAGACCAGAGACCGAGGCATCGTAACACCCGAATGCAACAACGCCCTAAATCCCAAAGACCTTGATGCCCTATGGCCCGAATACCCTCATGCCTGAGCGCGCTAGAACCTTGATGTCGTAACGCAATACCGCCCTAAAACACTAACACTGTAATGCCCTATCACCCTACAGTCCTAGCCCCTTAACAACCTATTACCCTAGTGCCCTAACGCCCGAATGCCCTAAACCTGCGAAATGGCCTAAAACTCCAATGTCCAAAGCCCTGATACCCTACTACCCTAGAACACTAACGTCCTAATACCCTGCGACCCTAAGACCTAACAGCCGTAACATCCGAAAACCCTAGCACCCAAATGCTCTAAGACCTTCGCACCCAACGGCCCTAGAGCCCTAGAGCTTTGAAAACCCTGATACCTTAGTAACCGAACGCCCTACCCTAATACTTTAATTCCATACGACCCTCGGACCTTAATAACGTCATACCTGAAAACTTTGAGACCCTAGTATACGAAGTCCCGACAATCCTTATAACATAGTGCCCCAACATCCAAATACCCTGATGCCCTAACACCCTGATCCACTACGGCCCTGGTACCCTACGGCCCTAAACACTAAAGCCTTGAGACTCTGAGGCGCCAGAAATCCTGAAACCCAGAGGCACTAACGCCCTAATACCCCAAGGTATTAATGCCCTGGAGCCCTAATTTACCCGGCGAAGGGCCCAACCATATGCAGTTGTGAGTGCCGCAATTGTGAGGATCGTCTTCGGTGACACTCTTTATGGGGCCACACACCTGTAAGGTGCGCGCCGGTTTGGGTAGAGGGGGGGGCGCATGTGGACCCTCCCACTGGAACCTTGGGTGGAACTCCCTACAGGGCCACGAAACGTGTGAGGGCAGTGCCGAAACGGGCGTAACGCCCACATGCGAACTGCGCCACAGGAGGGACCTTTGGTGGAACCCCCTACGGGGCCACGAAATGTGTCAGGGGTGTGCCGAAACGGGCGTGATGCCCACATACAAACTGCGCCACTCGGACCAAGGGTGACGCCCACCTGCGAACCGCGCCACTGGGACCTTCGGTGGGGCTCCATACGGGGCCACGAAGCATGTGTGAGGGTGTGCCAAACGGGCGCGACGCCCACATGCGAACTGCGCCACTGGGACCTTCGGTGGAACTCCCTATGGGGTCACTAGGCGTGTGAGGGGTGTGCCGAAACGGGCGTGACGCCCACATGCGAACCGCGCCACTGGGACCGTCGGTGGAGCTCCCTATGAGGCCACGAAGCGTGTGCGTGGTGTGCCGAAACGGGCGTGACGCCCACATGCGACCGTCGCCACTGGGACCGTCGGTGGAGCTCCCTATGGGGCCACGAAGCGTGTGCGTGGTGTGCCGAAACGGGCGTGACGCCCACATGCGACCGTCGCCACTGGGACCGTCGGTGGAGTTCCCTATGGGGCCACGAAGCGTGAGGGGTGGGCCGAAACGGGCGTAACGCCATCGTGCGAACTGCGCCACTGGGGCCTTCGGTGGAGCTCCCTTTAGGGCCACGAAGCGTTTGAGGGGTGTGCCGAAACGGGGGTGACGCCGACATGCGAACTGCGCCATTGGGACCTTCGGTGGAGCCCCCTCTGGGGCCACAAATCGTGAGAAGGGTGTTCCGAAACGGGTGTGACGCCCACATGCGAACTTTGCCGCGTGGACCTTCGCTGGAGCTCCCTACGGGGCCACGAAACTTGTGAGGGGTGTGCCGAATAGGGCGTGACGCCCACATGCGAACTGCAGCACTGGGACATGCGGTGGGGCCCCCTTTGGGGCCACGAAGGGTTTGAGGGGTGTGAAGCAACAGAGACGATGCAGGGATGAGAGGAGGAAGGGGAGGAGGAAGGAAAGAAGGAGTGAACGCGGGGCGCTGTCTTCCAAAACGAAGACCCCATACCCTAAAAACTTAAGGCCATAATTCCATGATGCCCTAACGCGCTGGTGCCCTAAGACGTTGTAGCCCTGACATCCGAAAACCTTGAGACGCGAACGCCCTAATGCCCCAAGGCCCTCAGACCCGAAGGCCCTGAACTACCCTAACACCCCGATGCCCCCAGAACTTGATAGCCTAAGTCCCTGGTGCCTTAATACCAGAAGGCCCTGCTACCAGAATGCCCTAATACTCTACTGCCCTAATGCCCGAAAGTCCCAACGCCGTACCACCCTATTACCCTAAAGCCGCAGACCCCTAATATCCAACTTCCCTCATAGCCTAACGCCCTAATACACTGGACTTGAATGGCTCAAGACACTACCCAACTTGCCTGATACCCTACTACACTAGAACCTAAACGCCCTCCCGAAGGCTCTATTACTGTAATCTGGAACGCTAGAACGCCCGAATGCCCTTAATAGGCGAACACCCCTTAATGCCCTAATACTGAAATATCCTACTACTGGAAAGACCGGATAAACTTATACTCTAAGACCTTACAGCCGTAAAGCTATAATGCCCGAACGTTCCCATACCCTCATGCCTTCACACCCTTCGACCACTTAATACGTAGAGCTCTAATACCGTAAAACACTAAAACCGATTACCCAAATACCCCTTATATCCTAAAATCCAAATGCCCTAACACGAATACCCTGACGCGCCAATAAATGAATACCCTAACGCCCTAAGACCCGACAGTCCTAAAAGCCTGATGCCCCAAGAGCCTAAAGCCCTGATACACAAGTAACCGAACGTCAAGCCCTCATACCTTCATGCCATAAGACGCTCGGGCCCTAATGCCCTCACACCCTAAATCCCTACAGACCCTAATGCACGAATACCCTACCACACTTTTGCACGAAGACCCTAACATCCAAATGCCATGGTACCTTATCACTCCAGCCTTACTCCCATACGGCCCTGATGCCGTAAGTCCCTACATCCTGAAACCCTGAGATCCTCAGGCCATTAGACACCAAACATAATGATACCCAAAGATCCCAACGCCCTAATGCCCCAAGACGTCAAGACCCTAATGCCCCTACGCCCTATAATCCGAGTGCGCTAGTACCCTGACACCCAAGAAACTCAGACCCTAAGACCCTCATGCCCTAAGGCCCTAGAAGCCTGAAGCCCGAATGCCAGAGTAACCAAACACCTTATCCGAATACCTTGATGCCATAGGACCCTAGGCCCATAATTCCCTTATGCCCTGAAGCCCCAAGACTCGAATGTCCCACCTAATACCCCTACGCCTTAAAAACCTCAACACCCGCATCCCCAGACCCGGTGCTGCCTTAAGACCAAGTGCCGGAAGACCGTAATATCCTAATGCCTTGCGGTCCTAAAACCATAATGCCGTCACACCCTAACACACTGATACCCCAAGACTTTACAGCCCTAGAACCCGAACGCCCTAAGACCCGAACTCCCGAATACCCCGAGACCCTCAGACCCGAAGACCCTAAAACCTTCATGCCCCAACTAACTGATGCCCTCAGATCTTGATACCCTAAGGCCCTGATGCCCCAATACCGGGAGACTCTGCGATCGCAGAACCTTGATACTCTCATACACGAATATCTTAAGTTTTTGATGCGCTAAGACCCTACTAACCCAAGCCACGAATGCCCTTATACCATAAGACCCCAATGCCTTACGAAAGCCCCAATGCGTCAACACCTTATCCGAAAACCAACATGCCCTAAGACCCGACTGCTCTAACCCCCCAGGACCACGCGGCCCTAACGCCCTAATGCTCTAACACCCTAATGCTCTGAGGCCTCTATGCCCTGGTACCCGATTCCACTAAGGCCCTGAATTCTGAATGCCCTAAGACCCGAACGCCCGAATGCTCCAAAAAACTCAGACCCGACGACACAACCAAAGACCTATACCCTAACACCCTGGTGCCCTCAGGTCATGCTGCCCTAAGACCCTGACGCCCTAATACCGGAAGACCCTGCGACAAAAAAAGCCTAATACCCTCATGCCCTAACACCCTAAGATCGAATGAGTGCGCTAAGACCCGACTACATTAAGCCATACAGGAATACCGTACAGAGCTCATACCTTAATACCCTAAGACCCCTATGCCTTAACACCCGGAAAATTAATGCGTCAACACCGTGACACCCTAACGGCCTAATATCCGAATGTCCTAAGGCCCGGCCGCCCTAAATCCCTAAGCGGCCCTGACGCCCTGATTAATGCCTTTTTGCTCCAGCACTCGAATGCCCTAAGACCTTCATGCCCCCATGCCCCATTGCGCTGAGACCGTAATGCCCTGATCCCCATAATGCACTAAAACCCTAAAACCCTGACGCCCTAAAGCCGTAATGCCGACACCCACCAACTCGGGCCCAGCCGAACTCGGACCCAGCGGAACTCGGGCCCGGCCGATCTCAGACCCAGCCGAACGCCCAACTGAACTCGGACGCCGGCTCGCGCCGTCGCGGGAGGGCCCGAGCCCGAGGTCAGCTGAGTCCGATTGTGGGAATTCCTGGATGAGCCGGGTGCGAGGTCAACCGGGAACTGAACTCGGACCTTAGGAGGCAACTACTGGGAGGTTTTCGTCGGAAGGATTAAATGGGATTCAGCCCCATTTGGGAGCTGTTACGCCGGAATGGGCCACGGACTAAGCAGGATTAAGCCGGATTAAGCAAGATTAAGCGGGATTAAACAGGATTAAGCGGGATTAAGCCGGATTAAGCAGGATTTCGGACCAGGGCTAAATCAGAATTTTACCTCCCAGGAGTTGCATCCGAACGGACCCAAGTAAAATCAGACCCCGACGCACGCAGGCACAGCTGAGCTCGGACACAACTGAACAGACATCCGACCGATCTTGATCTATCTACGTCCAGTCTGAGCTCCCAGCAGAAGTCGCTGAAGGTTCGCGCCGCAACGGGAACGCCCGGGGTCGAGTTCAGCCGGGTCCGAGATCCGTCGGGCCCGAGTTCAGCCGGGTCCGAGATCAGCCAGGTCCGAGATCAGCCCTTTCCCGAGTGGCCCCGCCCGCGCCAGCAACCCTAGGAGCCCGTCCTTGCCTCCGCGCATCCTTCGCCGCGCCCACCCTCACACGCACAGTGCCAGGCTGGTTACCACGAAAGCCCACAGCAGTGGGAAGAGGAGGTGCCCCTGCGCGAAGGAGACGCCAGCAGAGCTGATCAGATCCAGGTGGTCATTGGAGGAGACGTTTGCGAAGAAGAGGGCGACGTAGTTTATGGCGAAGAGGCTGTACAGCGTGCCCAGCACGTAGACGAGGGCGTCCCGCCTGCGCCACCTCCCTAGCTGCAGCTCCCACTCTCGACATCCCTCCGTTGGAACTCGCACGAAGTGACGCTGGTGCGCCAGTTTGATGATGGATAGAGGGATGCTCGCCAAGAGCGCAGAGACCATACCGACTGCGATCAACTTTCCAAGCGCCTGCCACATGCAATCGTCGTCACGGTCGTCACACTCCGCGTTGCACTCCTCGGGCGAGTCCTTCGCCAGAGCCCCCCCCGTACTCGCGAAGAAGAACGTAGCGATCATCACGGCCCCCGTCAGCTCGCAGCCGAGCAGCAGTACCCTCATGGATCTCCTCATGATGATGCTTCGCACAAAGACCGCCCCGACGGGACAGTTGATCAGGAACGATAGCATCAACGTGCGAGCCGCGTGGCACCGCGAGCGGCGACGCCGCAGCGCGCTCTCACGGGCCGCCCGCACCCTGCCGACCATCTCGGCCAGCATGTCGTGCCGCCGTTTGGCCTCGGCGACGCCGCCCTCGGCAGCGGAGCCAGCGAGGGTGCGCAGCGCAGCGCCCTCACTGTCCAGCTCGCCCGGCGCCGGGGGCTCCAGCTCCTTCTGGACCTCTGGGCTGAGCAGGAAGTCCACATCTCTGGGGTGCATGAGCAGAGACGCGCACACCCGATTCGTCGCGTTCCACTCGGCCAGCGTTTTGGCCAGATCCTTGAGGCCGAAGTTGCCCCTGAGAAGTTCCCACACGAAACTGACAAACACCTCGACGGTTTGCCGGATGCCGTCGACGCACTTGGTGACGATGCTGACGACTTCCAAGAGCGCGCCCTGCAACAGCTCCTCGCAAGACGCCTTTGTGTCCTGCTGGACCGCCTGGCGGGCAGACTGCAACGACCCCACGGCGGTTGTATAGCTGGCCCTTGACGATGTAGCTGCCACCGCGTGGCATTGACTGCTCTGTCTGCTCGCGACGCTGCCGTCTGACCTTTTCTTGCAGAACTCCTTGCGCAACGCCTCCGTAACGGGCGTGTGATCGGCGCCGCGCGGAACTGTCCGAGGCGCGCCCGCCGCGGCGCGGTCCTCGGCACCCACGGCGCTGCAGCTCGAACTTTCCAAACAGAAATGCTTGCGCAGAACCTCCGTGACGTTTGCGCGCTCGGCACCGAGCAGGGTCACCGGGGGCGCGCCCGTCGTCTCGGTGTGGTATCCGTCCGCCCGCGTCGTCGGGCAGGCGACGGGTTCCCGCGCGAGCTCGGGAACGACGAACTCCCTCGTGCCCCAGCGGCCCGCCCGCTCGTCCCTGACGTCGCACGCGTGCGCGGTCAACAGCATGGCGATGTACAACAACATCACACACTGCAGCAACACCGAGCCCGCGGAGTCCAACCAGCCGCCAGTCCACAACTCCACGTAGGACTCTGCTGACAGCAGGCTGGCCTGGCTACACTCGAGCGAGCTCACGAAGCCCTTCAGTATGGCCCCGAAAACTGTGAGGTGTGTGGTCGCGCACCGCAGCGTGCCGTCAGCGCGGCGCGTACTTGCCATGCCCTCGGAGCTCCATTCCAGCATGGCTTCGTCGAAATCCGCCGACCCGATCGGCGTGTGGACGAGGCTCTTTCATCCGTCGCTGTTTCATTGGTCGTCTCCTCGTCGTCGTCGTCGCCGTCGCCATTCCAAGCTTCCTCCTGGGCCTCCTTCTCCAACGCGCCAGC